TACTTTTTTGATAACCTTGACGTATTACTTTTTTGATAACCTTGACGTATTACTTTTTTGATAACCTTGACGTATTATTCTTTTGATAACCTTGACGTATTACTTTTTTGATAACCTTGACGTATTACTTTTTTGATACTCACTTTTTTTACTTGACTTGGTGACCCAAAATTTTTCGGCATAAGTTATCTCTACTTGAAGCATACTACTACATACGCATTATATCCAAAACTATATCGAGATAAAATCGTGCAACACGAAATGAGTTATTGGATAAACTCTCGTGTGTGTATATATATTTTTATACATTAAATTTTTTGTTCGCTGTGATCAACGTTACACGTTCCATATAAATCTTGATTTTCCTTAAACTTTTCTAAATTTGGTAAAAACATAAATTTTATTTTGTCACATTTCATAACCAATAAAATCAAACTTCCACCATGCTCAGTTAGATTTCGTCTGAAAGTAATAAATTCTCGAGTTATGTGATCACTTTTGCCAAGAAAAAAATGATGTAAAAATGATGTCTCGATATGTCTAGTAATAAAATCGATCGAGTAACACAGATGTTTAATCAACATATATCGCAGAATAAATTAGAAGCTCATGGAACTTTTCATGCATGATGTAATCGTGTGACCTGCTAATTGTTATTATAAATTCTAAATCTGATTGACTAACTCGTGGCATGACAAACCAAAAAAGAAATTCCTTCTTTTATATTTTTTTTACTATTTTTTAACATAAATAAACTAATCAGACCTCACTTAACAAAAAAAAAATTTTTTTTACTATTTTTTATTATCATGTCTGAACTTATTACAACATATTTGAACCAAAGCGGAAAAAAATCTTTCTACTACTTTTTGCGTCATTATCGGGATGAAATTATTGTCATGATTCCGGTTACTTCCCGTTGGAAGGATCTCGATAACGCCTGGTCAAATAAGTTCATCATAACAGGTGCGGGAAAACTTGGTGAAGATTTAAGTAGAAAGGTGTGTATTTTTTTATTTTGCAAGGTTAAGGTAACTTCTAGTCGAAGTCCGCATTTGCCTAGGAGAACTACTGGGTATGACACGTTGGGTAACCAGCCCCCAATTTCTCTACTCAGGCGCCCTAGCTTTGTCGTTGGTAAAGGTCTACTGATTCTGGAGGAGGAATCGGTTATGTACCTTCCTTTATCACTAAATAAAAAATTACACACTGTTAACAAATTCTTTTCTCACTGTAGGTTAATCAAGAACGGGTACGCTATGCGAAAAATTTTGAGGAATATTGGACTGATGCAATTAACGAATGTAAAATAGTAAGTAAAACCACTTATTTTGCATTTATATATCGGCTTTAATACTATTCATGATTATTCTTCTGAAATTAGAAAGAAGATATTTTGGTCTACGAAGCAGAAGAAGCTCGCATTCAGGATGAACTATCGCGTCTTCGGCACAAACTATCTGAAATACAAGAAAAAGTAAAAATGCAAAATTCAAGTAACCGGGAAATGGATGAAGATTCGGTTAATGAAGATCCTGTACATGATGGTCTAATGTTTGACGATGATGTCGATAATATTAACAATGGCAATAACAATAATAACGACAATGCCAACAATGATAATGATGTTGGTAATGATAATGGTGATGATGAGAACAACAATAATGATAACAATAATAACAATGATAATAATAGCAATAATAATAACAATAATAGCATTGTTGGTGGTTCTATGAAACGAAAAAAAAGAAAACAGGTTAATGATAATGATAATAGTAGTAATAGTAATAATGCCGATAATTATAACAATAACGATAACGATAATAACAACAATAACGATAACAATAACAATAATGGTGATGGTAATAATGATGAAAATAATAATAACAATAATGATAATAATGGCAATAGCGGTAATATAATCAATGTCGGCGAAGATAATAATAGTAACAATAATAACAATGATAATAATAATACAACAATATCATCATCATCAGCAACAACAACAATAACAACAACAACACCACCACCAACATATAATCTTCGCAGTAAAAGAAAAAAAGAATACGGTTATGAACGTGTAACTAAAAACATCGGAAAAATAAATCATCATCAACACAACAATCATCACGACAAACATCACGACAAACATCATATGATAATTTCGAAAATAATAGTTACAACAATGGCAGTGGTGATGACGATAACAATGATAGCAATAACAACAATAACAATTCATGTATAGGATGCCCTGTACATTGTCCGGATTAATCCGTTTTTTATATTTTTTTATAATGTATTTTGCGTATAATATTCTTTTCGATTTTTATAATCGCTGGCCTTGGTGGATATATAATCGTGTTTATATATTTCCATCGATATTAATAATTTTTTCTTGGCGAAAGTGATCGGTGTGAACAAATCATTCACGCACACATGATTTTTTCGTGTATTTTATATGTGTAATCCGATCGTGAAGATTTTCTTCACGGTTTTCTATCACGTGATTTTATTAATTCAAACTTTTGCTTTGAACATATCCGCATCTTATATAAACAATGGCAAACACACAATCTAAAAATGATTCATTAGAACAGATTTCCAAGCTTATAGCTGAGAATACTGAAATTAAAAAGAAGTATGCTGAGGTTGAGGCTGAGAATGCGAAGCTAAAAGAGATAATAAAACAAAGCACAAGGCGTGGAGCTGAGTATGAAGCTAGAATTAGGAAACTAGAGCAAAGCGATAAAGAGAAGGCTGGTCTTAAATCAAAATTTGAGGCACTAGAAAGGAAAAATAAAATGGATACCGCTAACCTTACAGTTGAGAATATCAAACTTAAACCAGGGTTGCGAAATTGGAACAGAAGCAATCGCAAACCGATGATGATGCCAAGGGAATCAATCAATCTTCAGTCTGTGAAGCAGGATACCCAGTATCTAATACCATCTGTTGTTGTAACGATTCACATAAACGTTTTTTTGATTCACTAGATAAACTCATTTTATTTATTTGTATACACGGTATATGGTTGTAAATTAAAAGTATTATACTTAACCCAGAAATAAAAGTATTATACTTAACCCGAAAAACTTTAAAATGAAATTAATTATTCTATATCATTATTATTGACAATAAATATGGGACTCTATCGTTGTCCTTATATTCTTAGAACTGGTAAAGTCTGTGGTCGAGGTTGTAATCAACCAGAAGGATGTAAACTTCATCGAAATTCTCCTACACGGATTCCTTGTAAAGAATATGGTTGTGGTAAGCTAACTTATTCTAAATATGGTGCATGCCGGAATCATGCAAGTAAGTATCGAAAAAGAGAATATTATCAACAAAAAAAGCAGGATGAATTGTGTATACAAATTGCTATGATTGAGAATCATATACCCGACTTACCCGATTCTAGACATGAAGTATAATCATGTGCTTGGCATATACCAATTATTTTTTCCAAAACATCTTTAAGTAAAGCTATATCCTCTTTGATCCCATTGATATTTTTAGTGATTTTATTACGTAAAGCTACGGATTCCAAGGCTTTATTTCGGGAGAAATGACACTTCGTGTCTGATCGATATCGTGTTTTATCTGCATCCATTTCTCGATAGAATTACATTAATCGCCACCCATTCAATTTTTGGGTATATATACTGACCTGGGATAATTAATTTCGATTTGAAAAAATATATTCCATAGTTATAGTCTGCGCAAATATCCCAATCGACAATGTCAAAAGTTGCAACAAATTTCGTAAATCAGTATAACTTAACTCCTCAGATGAGTATAGCCGAACTTAGCAATTATGCTGAAGAATTGGTTAAACATTTGAAAGATGCGAAGGCCCGTGATCATGCACGAAATCGGATCCAGAAATTAGGATTTAGTAAAGATCAAACATATGCTTTAATTCCTGTCCAAACTTCTGGAAGACGCGTTACAGGTAGGGAATCAGTTAAAAAACTTGCTTTGTATATTAAGGAGAATGAAGGATCATTATGGTGTGATGAATGGCAGACCAATTGCTCCAACGACTAGAGAAAAAAATACTGAGATATCAGATATTATAGATCTATACAATTACTAATCACGCTTCTTTGCTTTCACCACTTTCACAGTAAAATCTTTATCATCATTAGACGATTCAAACTCAGACCCAGATTCAGATGTGGATGAGGACTCAGATGCGGTATTGTTAAAAATTGGTTTTTTTCTAGCTTTGCATGGAATATGTTGCCGAGAAATATCTGGGTTTGCTATCGCATTTATAATATCATTAGATTCCATGATAAAATTATCTATCACGTGCGTAGCACTATGTCAACATAATTCTAGTTATTAGAATACATTTTATTAGAATACATTTTCAGATGGCCGAGGCCTTTTTTCTCACTAAAAGATAAAAATGTTCCCCCCAGCTTTCTTTCAAGTCTATGATTACCTGCCGAAAAAAAATTATGAAATTATTTTTGAGGGGGCGTCCGAACTCGTCAAACCTTCTGCGTTAAAACTTCAGCCATTACATATTTGGTTTCATCTATAGTTAGATTTAAGACGTATAATGGGGGATAGATCTAATCCGGGCTATTTTTAACTTAAGTCAAAGACGCTGGTTGCATGCACACATCATACATGTATCACCTTAGTGTCTTAGGAAAAATTAATCACATGCGTTCCGTTTCGGAACAAGAGCACACATTAACGTTGAAGGGAGATCAAACTTTGTTTGTTATTTTTTTCTAATGATTGACAAAGCGCCAAAGCGTCAAAGTGCATTAAAGAACTTTCACATCATAAATCAGATAGGCTTGTCTGTAAATACATCATATTCAAGTGCCAATATTTTTACTATATCCCAACTAATGAACTACGATAATCTTATTTTTCCTTTTTCGTTTTCTGTGGTGATCGGTACTCCTGTGATCGGGCATTCACTAACACTTTTCCACTAGCGAATTTTTCATTAAAAGCCCTTTCCTTCATAAGCTTGAAACGGCAAACCGTAAGATTCAACAGTTTCTGCAAACAGCAAGGAAGATGAGTATAAAACTATAATTTAAATACTGGTTTTTGGATTGTTACCAACCTTAACCCGAAGCATAATGCGTGAAACCTTAATGATAGACCCAAGTTCCGAATATGTCGATGGAATATCAAAGTCCGCCAAAATTATTGATGAATAAAATCCACCTCCTATATAAACAACTAGGAAGGCGCGAATAAAAAAACAATGAGATAAGAATCCAGGCATAAGAAGCTTGGTGGTAGCTCTCAATACTTGTTTTGACAGCATTCCTCCGCCTTCAACTGATATAGCTTCAACTAGAGTTCTATGCATGTCTCTTAACGTCTTCTGAGCCTTTAAGGTATTCGAAAGGATCTTTCTTTCGTTTTCAATTCTAGAGCCGGTGCGCTCGCAAAGTGAAAATTCGCGACCATACGGCAAATCTTTTGCTAGATCATGTTTCTGTTAATTTAAGTTAGTATTAGTAAGTAATATTAACAATGAACTCTCCAAAATCTAGTGTACCGTAAACATCCAGTCCAAATGATAGCCTTCTGCTGTTTCTGGGGCATCCATTGCTCCAGCTTGACGATCTCGAGAGGCCCTTGATACCATCTCCCCGCTTATTTAAGAACAATTATGTATTATTAACAACATCGAAAATACTTAGAATTGACAGTAGAACTTACAAGTGACTGTCTAGAATATTGTCAAAACACGAAAATAGGTGCCGTTTGATGAAGACATCTATGTCTCTTTCAGAATTTTTCCGCTGGGGAATTCCTTTCGCAAGCATTTCACATCTGGTTAAAGTTATGGTTAAGGAACTAAGCGGAATACATGCAGAATAATAAATTTTCTGAATTAACATGAATTGAATAACTTACGTAAATCGAATCAAGTCCAAAATAAATTGCACATCAGGGTTCAAGTAGTCTTCTTCCTCGATAGAAGATGTTGGCTTTACCTTATCATTCGTATCTTCATCGTCAAATAAAGAAACGCTCAAGCTTGATGTCTCAACGTTCTTCACCATTTTCTGAATTTCAAGGATAGCTCCATGAAATCCTTCGAGTGCCACTATTTTTCCAACCTTACTGAGGTGATCGTTATCAAGCTGGGATTCAAAACGTACGTTAATAAAATAATTGAAATAATACAAAATCAAATGAAACAAAATATAAAATGCTAAATTATCAACACTGACCTTAGCAAGAGCCTGTAAACATCTCTCAACTGAAGGTTCCAGTGTGGTCCAATCTTCAGTGGGATGGCCTACATTAAGGGCAGATGCAAATACGGCGACCAGATCCGACATGTCCGCTTCAGTCAGAAAATCTGATGTACTTTTTAGATCCGAGGCATCTATTATTCGCCACCAGATCGGGCTAAGAATTAATCAAGAATTAATCAGGATTTGTCGTTACAAAAGATAAAAGTGATTATATACTGTACATAAAAAAAATACTTTAGAATCAAATAGCAAAAAAAAAATACTTTAGTGACGATTCATATCTGTCAGACGGATCCGTTTGTGAGGTCAAAAACTCTTGTCGTCTTACTACTTTCTCTAGCCAGGTTGGCATTGGTTCATCGAACTCCCAACAGATCGGCTGAGGTTCATCATTGGCAATCTGAACACACATAAGAAGGCTTAAGAAAAAACGCTTTTATTTACTAAACATAAAATGTAATTACCTCAGGCACAGTTAATGGACTGAACTGGCGTTCAGGAGTTCGTTGTTGAGCCTGAGACTGCAAATCAAGTGAGACATCACTTGAAATGGGTTCCTCCTCTTCATTATTTTCATTTGGTTTGATCTTCTTCTGCACCCTCTCCTCTAGACCAAATTCTATGTCTGAATATTTTTTATATCCTCGTCTTGCTATTTGATGAACATCATGTCTTCCCCTTTTCTGTAACAATGAATTCAACAAGGACTGAATAAAGGTACTGTTAAGTATAGGAGGTAAACTTGAATAAGTCACTTACCTGGGCGATTTCCAATTCCAGATCAACCACATCAGCCTCCAAAAGTAAAGATGAGATTTGTTCCTTCTTCTTCCAAATTTTATTATCACTTTTCTGTATGCATAAATGTATGTAAATAGTTAGGCATAACAATGAGATACTGGATAGAGTTCACAGTGCCACGATGCTTGCTCGACAACGTTTCTATGCCCCTACGCTCGGTAATAGCCGTCGGTTTTTGCACTCGGGAAAACCTTTCCAACACTCGGTTGCCGGTTTAGGCATAGAGTACGTCGCGCGTTTTGATAGTCACGCACACGTGGTGCTACCTGTCGGTTTTTGCACTCGGGAAAACCTTCTCAACGCTCGGTTGCCAGATTAACTATCAAGTACGCTGGCACGACAAAATTCGCGAAGTCAAAAAACTAATACTTTCCTTCAATTCGTCCTGCCAATGACAAACCGTCTTATAAATAGGATGGT